GCACAGGCAGCCAACTCCCACGCCTCCTATCATCTGTTGGCAACCTCCCTGTTCTCAGTCCCTGGGCCGGGCGGCGCACACTCTGCCTGGCTCCCGGGAGGCTCCTCGTCCCCAGCGCCCGTGGCACCCAGACCGGGAGCCTCTCTGAGCCAGGGCTTGTTTTCACAACCCCATGTGCAACACAACCAAAGTGACAAAAGACCGAAAACACATGTCTGGCTTCTTTACAAAAATGACGATTCTGTAACATGTCCTGAAATAGAAACGCTGTTCCTGAAAAGCTACAGCACGAGGACAGAAGGAGGTCAGGGAGAAAGGAGGATGGTGCCGGACTTACCGAGGACGGCCTCCACGGTGCCGCCAGCGGGGCTGAGCGGGAGGACGCGGGTGGGGGGCGCGGGCAGCGCAGTGGGGGAGGAGCTGCCGGAGCCGGCGCTGGACGCCAGGCTGGACGCCACGCTGGAGCTCACGCTGGGGGCTGGTGGGTGGACGGCTGCAAACACGGCCAGGTGGTTCTGTTCAAAGACACAAACACCGTCAGCACATGCCCCCTGCGTGGAGGAGGCAGCGCCACGTCAGCACCCTGCAGAAACCACCACGGGACAGCGGCCGACTTCCACGCCCTGGCGAGGCCCGGGGAGAGTTTCCCAGACCCGGAGGGACTCTGACCGCGCTGAGGAGAAACACCAGGACAGGCAGGGCAGCGGGCTATGGTGCACTTGGGAAAGGCACAGACCCCTCTGGGAAGTGCCTCGTGAGCTTTTCTGCAGAAAATGTTTCAGGAGTAGACATTTGCCAGTAAAAATCAATCCGGCAGGTGCAGAAAGATGTGTCAGAGGCCAGGGGCCTGCCAGCCCAAGGGGCACACCTCCTGGGTGCCCCCACCCCAGCTCTCACCCAGGACTGGCTCCTGAGCACCTTTGGGGGCCCCCAGAGAAATGTCCTCCCAGGGACTTAAAAAGAGACCCAGCATCACTTCTAAAACATCCATAGCGTGGTCCTGTGACCTCATCACCAGGGAAAGTAAAACACGGGGCAACTCACATCATCTGTATTTGGTGGATAATAGATCAAAAGAAAAAGAGCAAGCACACAGAGCAGTGCTGAATAAAACCCAGTAACGGGCAGGGCGCTGCACACAAGAAAACACCCGATACAAATGACCCAGAGCCACCTACGAGGTCACTGCAAAATCGAGCATCAAAAGCTGGATTAGAATGAGTTTCTGGCCAGGCACGGTGGCTCATGTCTGTAATCCCCGCACTTTGGGAGGCCGAGGTGGGCCGAGGTGGGCGGATTACTGGAGGTCAGGAATTCGAGACCAGCCTGGCCAACGTGGTGAAACGCTGTCTGTACTAAAAATACAAAAAAATTAGCCAGGGCCGGGCGCGGTGGCTCACACCTGTAATCCCAGCACTTTGGGAGGCCAAGGTGGGCGGATCACCTGAGATCAGGAGTTCGAGACCAGGCTGCTCAATATGGAGAAACCCCGTCTCTACTAAAAATACAAAAAATTAGCCAGGCATTGTGGCAGGCACCTATGGTCCCAGCTACTCGGGAGGCTGAGGCAGGAGAATCGCTTGAACCCAGGAGGCAGAGGCTGCGGTGAGCCAAGATCGCAGCACTGCACTGCAGCCCGGGCAACAGAGAGACTCTGTTTCTCAAAAAAAAAATGAATTGCATACTGAAATATATTACAGTTGAAATGATATATTTGGGTTTTGCTGAAAAGTAATGCAGGAAAAGTTAACCTTGGGGGGTATGATTCTACTAGTTCGTCTGCTTAAGTAAAACTGTCCATAACGAAGAAATTTTAACATGCATTTCCTAAGGGTCAGAAATCAGGCACTGACTAGTCCTCAAGAACGCACCCGGCTCCAGGCTTCTGTGGCCTTGCGGTCCTGCTGCCTGCACTGGCTTCCTTCTGGATAACGGATTTGCCCCTCAGCCCACGGCACAGGAGGTGCACAGAGCCCCCGTGACTGACTCTGAAAACAGTCTCCTCCAGCTGCAAACTCTGGAGACAGCCGCCAGAGCTCCCCGCGCAGGTGCAAGATGGGGCCTGCCCCCTCGTCCATAATCCACTTCCCCTCCCTGGCCCGGAGACCACTTTCCCTCAAGCCATGAAAAAAGGAACCACAGTCCACCCCGTCAGCATCAGGGACGGCGGTAACTCCTGCACCCAACACCACAGACCCACCCAGTCATGCAACGCCAGGGACCCTCCCAGCCATGCATGGCGCTGCCGTCACCCCCCATCAATCCCCCATGGTGAGCCTGGTGACAGGGTTGCTGGAAGCCTCACGTTCTCTAGCAAGCAGCCCAGAAACACGGTGGGTGATTCGAGACCTGGTGCCATCTCAGTGGCAACCCGCCCCCTACCCCTGGCGCTTCCTATCTCTGCTCCAGAGCCTCGATGTGGCCCCAGGAAGGCTGAGAAGGACCTCCCAACAGACGTTCCGGTGACCCGACATCCAGGAGCGACGCAGACACCTGGGAGCTCCTTGTTCCCTGACAGCTTGGATCAGGGAGGGGACCGACCTTCTCTACCAGCAAAGGACAGGGCCACCCGGGCTGCGGGACCGAGGAGGCGGGCACCAGCAAGGGATGAGTGACGTGGGGCAGTCTGCCGAGCTCACTGCATCCAGCAGTTGTGACTCAGAACCAAAAGCTCAGGGACGGCAATGCACTGCCCTCCGGGGATGTGGGCACTGCACAGCTGCACGGCCCGCAGAAGCCCTCCCCCACCCCCTCCTTGTCCCATCTCTTGGCAGCCCACCCTGTGTCTCAGGGTCTGCCTGGGTCCGTGCTCTGGGGCACAGTCCCTACACACAAGCTGCCCCTGCTCCGCCAGGCTGACGTCCACCATGTCCTGACCCACCAGTAGCCAAGAGGCCACCGCCCGCATCACAGTCACCCCTGTGGATGTCCTCCCAGCTCCATGACCCCTGTAGGCATCTCAGTCCTTGCCTGAAACCAACTCCAGAGCATCACCCAGGCCCAGAGGCCACCTCCCAAATAAGGGAGAGCCTAGGGACTATTGCCTGGAAGGGCCCGGGCCCACCAAGAAGCCATGGACAATGCTGGGGTTTGCAGAGCAGGCCTGCCCTGCCCTGGGTCAGACAGGGAACCTGTGCCCCGCACCTGTGTCTGCACAGAGCCCAAGAACGCAGAAAGCCGGGAGACACCACAGTGCAGGTGCCACATTTGCCCCCAAAGCAGCGCTGTCTGAGGGCTGGGCACAGGCTGACCCTCAGCTAGGAGGCGGCCTCAGGCTCCCAAAGCACTGCCCGGCCCAGGGTGAGTGCAGCAGCCTGAGAAGCCAAGGCCGCCTCCTTCCTGGGTGTCTGCAGGAGAGACTCCACCCTGGGGGCCTTCCCCAGCCTACTGGAGGCCATAAACCAAGAGGGATGGGAGAGGAAGCCTCAGCGCTGAGTGACTCCCAGACCCCGTGCTGACCCTGCCCGGGAGCTGGCCGGGGTGATGTGCACACTGTGACTTCAGCCCAAACGATCACCTGAAATCATCAACATCCAGGTCAGTCCTTGTTCCCCAAGGTACAGTGGCCACAGACGACGGGCCTGGTATGGGGGCCCATCCACAGGAGGGCTGGGCATGGTGAGAGGCGTCAGACAAGAGCCCCGTGGGGACGCCGCACCTCCACTAACACGGGCACCGCCCACCTCGTGAGGACGCCGTGGGGATGCCGCACCTCCGCTAACACGGGCACCGTCCACCTCGTGAGGACGCCGTGGGGACGCCGCACCTCCGCTAACACCGGCACCGTCCACCTCGTGAGGACGCCGCACCTCCGCTAACACCGGCACTGCCTGCCTGTTTTTCTTCTCTGTATTACGGTGACATATAACATTTACTACAGTGGTCACGGGTCGGAGTAGTCCGTGGCATGAATTCCATCCACGCCGCTGTGCAGCCATCACCGCACCCATCCCCAGAACGCCTCATCTCCCAGCCGGAAGCTCTGACCCCAGGAACACCAGCTCCCTCCCCCGCCCCGGCCGCGCACCCACCGTGCTACCCGCTGTCTGTGAATGTGGCTCCGCTGGCGGCCTCCTGCGGGTGGAATCACACAGGATCTGCCTTTCAGTACCTGGCTCGTTTCAGTCAGCACAGTGTCTGTTATGGACCAAACGTGTCCCCCCCAAATTCCTACATGGAAGCCGTGACCCCCGGCGTGACTAAATTTGGAGATAGGCCTGTGAGGAGTAATTAAGGTGAGATGAGTTCTTAGGCCAGGCGTGGAGGCTCACACCTGTCATCCCAACACTTTGGGACGCCAGAGAAGGACTGCTTGAGCCCAGGAGTTCAAGACCATCCTGTGCAACACAATAAGACCCCATTTCTAAAAAAATACAAAAATTGGCCAAGCCTGGTGGTGTGGGCCTGGGGTCCCAGCGACTCAGGAGGCTGAGGTGGGAGGACTGCTTCAAGCCTGGGAGTCCCGGGCTGCAGTGAGCTGGACTGGGCCGCCGCACCCCACCTGGGTGACAGAGCCAGACCCTGTCTCAAAAAATTCAAGAAACTAAAAAACAATGAAATGAGGTGTTGGGGCAGGGCCCTACGCAGCCACTATCCCCATGAAGAGACCCCGGGATGCCCACACACAGAGGAGTGACCCAGAGGATACGGAGGAGGCAGCATCTGCACCTAGGGGGACTCAGGAGTCTCAGCCCCCAGAACTGAGAGAGAATTGGGTGCTGCTGCTTGGGGTGTGGTTTTGGTTTGGTTTGAGATAGGGCCTCACTCTCACCCAGGCTGGAGTGCTTGACTCACTGCAACCTCCAACTCCTGGGCTCAAGCAATTCTCCTGCCTCAGCCTCCCAAAGTGCTGGAACCACAGGTGTGAGCTACTATGCCCAACCAAAACTCCCTCATTCATTCATTTATTTAGAGATGGAGTCTCGTTCTGTGTCACCCAGGCTGGAGCACAGTGGCATGATCTTGGTTCACTACAACATCCACCTCCCGGCTTCAAGCGATTCTCCTGCCTCAGTTTCCTGAGTAGCCGGGACTACAGGCACGTGCCACCATGCCTGGCTAATATTTTGCATTTTTAGTAGAGATGGGGTTTCACTATGTTGGCCAGGCTGGTCCCGAACTCCTGACCTCGTGATCCGCCCTCCTTGGCCTCTCAAAGTGCTTGGATTACAGGTGTGAGCCACCGCACCAGGCAAGTTCTGCTGTTTAAATGGCCCCATCTGCATCCTTCCCTCGTAGCCCAAGGAAAGTAACACAGATGGGCTCCAAAGGGCCCCTCTTATTTCCCTGAGCAGAAAACGGCAGGAGGTTTTGGCTTTGTTGTTTCCAAGGTATAACACGAATGTTCCAAACAGACAAACACGGGGGTACCAGGGGAGAGCTAATTCTGTCACAAGCACATGTTAACCAGACGGCTTTGTGAGCCCAGAGTGGGAGGGACCAAGGATGCATGAGCGCAGCCCTAACGCAATGTCGCACCAGCAGGCACGAGGGCCGCGGGGAGCCTTGGGGCCTGTACCTGCTTGCTGTCCTGCTCACTGCCCTTCGGGCCGCCCTCGGCCGGCGAGTCTCTCCGCTTGGCCTGCAGCTTAAAAAAGAGTCATGTGAGGAAAAAGCAGAGAGGAAATGTGAATTTAAAATATACATATTCAGGCTGGGCACAGTGGCAGCACTTTGGGAGGCTGAGGCGGGTAGATCATCTGAGGTCAGGAGTTTGAGACCAGCCTGGCCAATGAAAACCTGTCTCTACTAAAAATACCAAAAATAGCCAGGCACAGTAGCACATGCCTGTAGTTTCAGCTACTCGAGAAGCGGAGGCAAAAGAATCACTTGAACCCAGGAGGTGGAGGTTACAGTGAGCCGAGATGGCACCATTGCACTCCAGCCTGGGCAACAAGAGTGAAACTCCGTCTCAAAAAATAAAATTAAAAATTAAAAAAAAAGGGAATTGCTTGAACCCGGGAGGTAGAGGCTGCAGTGAGCCAAGGTCGTACCACTGCACTCCAGCCTGGGTGATAAAGTGAGACTCCGTCTCCAAAAAAAAAAAAAAAAAAAAAAAAACACACACACGCATATGTATATATTGTATAAATATATGCAATACATATATATATACACACACACATATATATGTATACACACACACACGCGCGCGCGCACAGATGTAAGCTCTGCTCAGAATTTAGACAAATGTTTTTTTCTTTTTTGAGACAGGATTTCACTGTCTCCCAGGCTGGAGCACGGTGGTGTGACCTTCCTGGCTAAAGCAATCCTCCTGTCTCAGCCTGCCAAGAAGCTGGAAGCACAGGCATTTGCCAGTGGACCCAGTTAATTTTTCAAAGCTTTCTGTAGAGACAGGGTCTCGTTTTGTTGCCCAGGCTGGTCTTGAACTCCTGACCTCAAGCGATTGTCCCACCTCAGCCTCCTAAAGTACTTGGTTTACAGGCGTGAGCCACTGCAATTGGCCAAGGATGCCAAATCTTGAAGGTTTCATGAAACAGAAGAGACGTCTGAATCTGCTGGCTCCCTGTCGGTTCTCCTAAGTTCCATTTCTTTTCTTTTCTTTTCTTTTTTTTTCCCGGAGACAGTCTCCCTCTGTCGTCCAGGCTGGAGTGCAGTGGCGCAATCTCAGCTCACTGTAACCCCCTCCTACTGGGTTCAAGCGATTCTCCTGCCTCAGCCTCTGGAGTAGCTGGGACCGCAGGCGCGCACCACCACACCTGGCTAACTTTTGTATTTTTTTAGAGATGGTGGTTTCACCATGTTGGCCTGGCTGGTCTCAAACTCCTGACCTCAGGTGATCCACCCGCCTTGGCCTCCCAACGTGCTGGAATTACAGGCATGAACCACCGCGCCCGGCCCTGAGTTCCATTTCTTACATTTAAACGTGGCTCTCTGACCTTGGGTTGGTCTGTGTGAAGGCAGGTGCCAGCTCTAGACTCCCCGAACCAACCACAGCGTCAAACCCCAGACCGAGCCATGGGCCTAAGGCAGAGGCTCACGTGAAGCTCTAAGACACACACGAGGGGTCAGAGCGTCCCACCCCACAACATGCCACTCTCTGGGAAAAAGATTATTTCGAGTTGAAAGCAGCTGAGAAACAGCAGACGCAGGAACCGCTCTCCGCTCCCTTCCTGCCTCGAAGCCGGGCGTGAATTCCCTGTGAAGGTGCCCTCTCCCCTCTCCACACCAGGAGAGGCTGCGTAACCACCCTCACTGAAGTTACTCTTATCTTCCGCCAGCCTCCCCCAGAGCCTTACCTTCCTAGGAGCCCAACCCCCCTTCCCCCCTCTTTTTTTTGAAAGAGTCTCGCTCTGTCACCAGACTGGAGTGAACTGGCGGGATCTCAGCTCACCACAACCTCCGTCTCCTGGGTTCAAGCAATTCTCCTGCCTCAGCCTCCTGAGTAGCTGGGATTACAGGCATCCACCACCACACCCAGTTAATTTTTGTATTTTTAGGATAGACAGGGTTTCCCCATGTTGGCCAGGCTGGTCTCGAACTCCTGACCTCAGGTGATCCACCCGCCTCAGCCTCCCAAAGTGCTGGGATGACAGGCATGAGCCACCGCCCCCGGCCTAGTGGCAAGGATTTTCTAGACTCTTCTACAAGAGCCACAAACTCCACAGACTGCCTGCGACCACACTGCTGAAAACTCATATCCATCCACATCCCTAACAGTTCAATTAAACCAAAGGACACTTGGTATTGTCCCGGGAACACCGTTCACTTACGTTTCCCGGCTGGCCGCTGCCCGTGGAGGCAGGACTCGTGAGATGGAGGTCGCGGCAGCCCCAGTCATTCACCATCCCCAGGCTCTCTGCAAGGACAGGGGAGCAGCAGGCTCTGAGGGCCACTGGTGGGTGACAGGAACACGCAGTCTCTGCACCACATGTCAGGGCCAAGTGTGCACGGCCTTGTCACAATCATCCCTCAGGGGTGCAGCAGAGGACGGCCGGGCAATGACAGGGGACGCTCAGGGCAACGGGACCCTCAGGCCTTAGACCAGTGTTTCATGTTTTTACCACGAAAAGCAATGTTTAAAATGTGAACACGAGCTGCCCTCCCTACTAAAATCAAAAACAAAGGGAAACTGGAGCTTGCGACCACGCGCAGAAAACCCGGAGCCCAAACCCCAGCTGCGAGGAGGCGGCCGCGGGTGCCCACCGGGGCTTGTTTCTGCTGCTGGGAACTTATTAGGGACCACGCGATCGCCAAAGCTAAGCCCTCATCCTCTGGACAGCGGACGGCTCTGGAAAGCAAGGGCTCGGCCCGAGCCACCCTTGCGCGAGGGTCTCTGCTGTCTCCCCGGCGGAGCTGGGGTGGGCAGACCCCTCTCTCCACAAGGGTGGTGCTGCTCCTGGGTGGGCGCCCAGCAAGATGGCAGTCTCAGGGCAAGGCCCAGGCAGCGGGGGTAGAAGGACCCAGCTTGGATGCCCAGGAGGCAGGTGGAAGCGCCAGCCGGCCCACACCAGGACTCAGCCTCCACGCTCGGGGCCCCATCATGCCTGGAGACAGGGTCCCTGCAGGTGCCACCTGGCCTGGCCCACGCCAGCATGGAGGGAACCCAGCCTCACGTGGCACAAACACCCCAGGGAGCCTCCAGGGGCATGTCAGGGACCCCCCACCCCCAACCACAGTGCTGAGCTCCCGCCCGTCTTCCAGGCCCTCGTGGCCAGCTCCGGGTCATCAGTAACTCCAGTGAGGGCCTGCAGAGCCGCAGAACCTGCTCAGGTGAAGCTGCCACAGGGACGGTCACTCACTCTCAATGTGTGCAAAGGCGCAGAAGGGGCCGCGAGGGCAGTACCCGGTTTGGCGCATGTCATTGCATTTCGTAGATTTGTAGATCTGGGGGGAAAAATGAAATGAAGACGCTTGATTGGATATGGGATCCTGTGGAAAGATCACAGCTGGCATCATCCCAAGGTAGAGGATGAAGCTCTAAGTCATAACAAGACAACCCTGAGAAGGGGGGTGTGGGCCCTGCCCTCCTCCACTGTATGCCCTTGGTCCCCACATCCCTCCTCTCTGCACAGCCGCCCCACAGGGAATAGGCACACCTGTGGGCCCTTCCCACAGCACCTGCCCTCCAGTCACGGGCAAGGTCATTTCCCTGCTGATCTTCTCTGAAAGATGCACCAAATTCAGTCTGGTATGCAGCAGGTGCCTAATAAACGCCTATTAAAAGAAGCGCGTGTCTCTGTTCCCTGACCAGACCCACTGACACTTCACCTAGGGTGACAGCCCCTCTCATGGGTCAACAACGCTTAAGACCCAGCAAGGGACAGACCGGCCTGGAAGCCCCCAGTCCGCCTTCAGAGGGCCTGGCCCAGCCCCTCCTGCTCCGCAGCTCTCCGGGAAGGACACAGCAACTGGCACACCTGGCCCCCAGTGCCCACACCTGCCTGGGTCCCAGCAGGACGCCTCTCTCCTGCCCTCCAGCCTGGCCCCACCCCACGGCTCTCCCACCACGAGGCACCTGTGGGGGCTCGTTCGCTCGTTCATTTTGTTTGTTTTTTGAGAGAGTCTCGCTCTGTTGCCCAGGCTGGAGTGCAGTGGCGTGATCTCAACTCAATGCAACGTCCGTCTCCCGAGTTCAAGTGATTCTCCTGCCTCAGCCTCCCAAGTAGCCGGGATTACAATCACGTGCCACAATGTCTGGCTAATTTTTTTTTTTTTTTGAGACAGAGTCTGGTTCTGTCCCCCAGGCTGGAGAACAGTGGCGTGATCTCGGCTCACTGCAAGCTCCGCCTCCCGGGTTCACGCCATTCTCCTGCCTCAGCTTCCCGAGTAGCTGGGGCTACAGGCGCCCGCCACCACGCCTGGCTAATTTTTTGTATTTTTATTAGAGAGGGGGTTTCATCGTGTTAGCCAGGATGGTCTCGATCTCCTGACCTCGTGATCCACCTGCCTCGGCCTCCCAAAGTGCTGCGATTACAGGCGTGAGCCACCGCGCCCGGCCGCCTGGCTAATTTTTTCTAGTTTTAGTAGAGATAGGGTTTCACCAAATTGGCCAGGCTGGTTTCAAACTCCTGACCTCAGGTGATCTGTCCACCTCAGTCCCCCAAAGTGCTGGGATTACAAGCATGAACCACCGTGCCCGGCCTGTTCATTTTTTTTTTGGGGGGGAAGGAGTCTGGCTCTGTCACCCAGGCTGGAGTACAATGGTGCCATCTTGGCTTACTGCAACCTCTGCCTCCTGGATTCAAGTGATTCTCCTGCCTCAGCCTCCCGAGTAGCTGGGATTACAGGGGCACACCACCATCTCCAGCTAATTTTTGTATTTTTAGTAGAGACAGGGGTTCACCATGTTGGCCAGGCTGGTCTCAAACTCCTGACCTCAAGTGATCCGCCTGCCTCGGCCTCCCAAAGTGCTGGAATGACAGGTGTGAGCCACTGTGCCTGGCCTGTTCGTTTTAAATACAAATCTGAGTATGATCCCTTGGCAACTACACAGCTGGGTGGACCATCCATACCCTGCACCTTCTAGTGGAGGCACAGGCCTGGCTCCAGCTCAGGCTGCCCCCTTCAGCCCCAGGAACTTCCTGCCTGGGAAGAGTTCTTGTTCGCCTGGGGCAGGGCCCAGGTGGGAGGGTTTATGTCACTCAGGATTTACGAGGCGGCTGTGACCCATGTGGTGCCAGCTCCACTCGGCGGGGTACTAGAGACTGGGGTCTGCAGCCAGGCCTGTGTGACTGAACACAGAAAAGGCTCCGGACGCCGGATTCCCGACAGGCCCCTGGTGGCACTGCTGAGTGTGTGGTCACCGACACCCAAAAGGCATGATGCGCGTCCGTGACGACATGCGTCAAGAAAAGACAGGAAGCAGCGACTGGTCCCTCCCAGTCCCTGCGCGCCTCCCCCTTGGCTGAGGTTTTCACGTTTTTTAGACAGAGTCTTGCTCTGTCCCCCAGGCTGGAGTGCAGTGGCGCAATCTCGGCTCACTGCAACCTCTGCCTCCTGGGTTCAAGTGATCCTCGCACCTCAGCCTCCAGAATAGCTGGGATTACAGGCGCACACCACTTACACCCAGCGAATTTTTGTATTTTTAGTGGAGACATGTTGACCAGGCTGGTTTCAAACCTCTGACCTCAAGTGATTTGCCCGCCTCAGCCTACCAAAGTGCTGGGATTACGGTGTGATCCACCGTGCCCGGCCTGTGTATATATTTATATATATATATATATTTTTTTTTTTTCTTTTTTCTTGAGGCTGGGTCTCGCTCTGTGACCCAGGCTGGAGTATAGTGGCATGATCTCGGCTCACTGTAAGCTCCGCCTCCCAAGTTCACGCCATTCTCCTGCCTCAGCCTCCTGAGTAGCTGGGACTATAGGCATCCGCCACCACACCCGGCTAATTTTTTTGTATTTTTAGTAGAGACAGGGTTTCGCCAGGATGGTCTCGATCTCCTGACCTAGTGATCTGCCCGCCTCGGCCTCCCAAAGTGCTGGGATTACAGGCGTGAGCTACTGCGCCCGGCCCTGAATATGTATGTTTTTAATTGACATTTTCTCCCTGCTTTTTTCCCACGATTCTTTTCTGTTGCAGGCCAAGCGGAGACTCGCCGGCTGACGCAGCCTGAAGGCCAGCAAGCAAGACAGAAAGCAGGTACAGCCCTCACGTGCCCCCAGGCTTCCCGCCCCGCGCCAGCCCTCAGCCAAGGTTAATCACTGTTCTTTCTGTGTGATGAGCCACGCTGTGAAACCCTCGGCTTCTCGGGGCCTTGCAGCAATCCCTGCACCTGGGGGGCCGGAGGGACGTACCTCGGGATGGAACTGCTGCTCTGTGCGGGAGTGGCAATACTGGCAGCCGTCACCGCCGTCGCAGCGTGCGGGCTCCCCCCACTCATCCCCGTGCTTCACGCTGGGGCAGGGCGTGGACCTGGGGATGAGGAGGTGTGAGGGAGACACGGAGGACTTGGCTCCCCCAACTCATCCCCATGCTTCACGCTGGTGCAGGGCATGGACCTGGGGATGAGGAGGTGTCAGGGGGTCACGGAGGACATGGCTCCCCCAACTCATCCCCGTGCTTCACGCTGGGGCAGGGCATGGACCTGGGGATGAGGAGGTGTCAGGGGACACGGAGGACTTGGCTCGCCCCACTCATCCCCGTGCTTCACGCTGGGGCAGGGTGTGGAGATGAGGAGGTGTCAGGGGGACACGGAGGACATGGCTGTCCCCGTGTGCCCAGAGGTGTCTGCCTCCCACCAGGAGGGCCTCAGGCCTAGGGCCCTGGAGTGACCGGCAACCCAACTCCGCGCTCACGGACACGCAGGCCCGGCCAGTGCCAGGATGGGGTCAGGAGCCCCAGGGCGGTTCTTCACGGAATTTAACTTGAGTCTGAGTCAGAGCCACCCTCACGGACGTGGAGAACACAGGGGAGATGCAGCCGAACTTCCTGGGGGCAGTGAGGCTGGGCACCCAGACAGCACGGGGCTGTCTCGTCAACCTTCTATAACGTGCAAGTGAGAGTTCTGATCCCACGATTTAAAAATCCTCACCAATTTCAAATTACCTATGTTCCTACTGCAGTGAGCTGAAATGCACCACCGCACTCCAGCCTGGGCCACAGAGACTGTGTCTCATAAAAAACAAAATCCTCTACTCTTCGTGGAATTTCTAGCAGCTTTTTTGTAACTGGCTTGGATTTATGGAAAACATAAGTGCCTGTTGAAGAAAAGAATTTTTCTTTTCTTTCCATGACGGGCGATGACAAAAACCTAGAGACTAATTTGTGGTTTGTTCTACAGTCGTTCAGGTCCCTCAACCTGAACGCTGCTCAGAGGGAGACGGAATGTGGCAAAACAAGGACAGGGGTCCTTCCCATGGGGACACAGGCGCCCTCCAGGGCACATGAGCCAGCACCAGGTCATTCAGAAGAGGAGAGGGTGGCTCTCTGCTCAAAGGAAGAGTTGGACACAGACAGGGCCTCAGGGAGGCCAAGGCCATGGTCCAGTCATCTACACACCCTGTGGGGTCTGTACCCCCCACCCCCGTCTCAGGTGCAAATTGCAGACAGCAGGCAGGCCAGGCCAGGCACAACCAGAAGGCCGGGCTGGGGCAAGGAGGAGAAAGGGGCTTCAGAGGCAAGCAGGCTGCAAGGCGCCAAACCCACGAGCCAGACGCAGGGACGGTTGGGGCTCAGGCAGTGGAGGAAGGTCCTCTGTGCACCCCGGGCAGGGCGACCCTTGGGTTGTTGGCCGTGGGACTCAGCCTAAGGACCCGGTGTCCCAGCTGCCAGCTGTGAAGACGAGGTCGATCCCAGGTGACAAAACGTCAGAGTGCCTGGGGCTCAGGCGAGGAGACAGCACGCGGCCCACAGCCCGGAGAGCATGGCTGCGACCAGAGGCACAGGTGGGGCACACGGGGGTCCCTCCTGCAGTGCTCCGACCCCTTGCCTGGCAGAGGGGCCCCGGTAGGGGACTGCATGGGAGCCACTGAGCACGGGTGGGGAGGCCCGTCCCCGGGACAGACACGTGGGCCTCCATGACGCCTCCCACAGCCACTGTGCTTGGAGATGCCCTCCCCTCCCGGGGATGATGGTGCCACAAGGGCAGCCCTCCCATGAGAACCCGGGGTGGGCAGTGAGGGCCACGGGCCAGGAAGGACGCCCACCAGCCGGGGTCCTCTGAGCACGGTCCCGCAGGCTCACCTGTACTGGAACCGCCGGGGGTTGCGCCGCCTGTCCCGGCTGTTGTGGTAGTGCGGGCACGCGTAGCCCTGGCGACACAGGCGCGGTGGCTTCGGGCACTGCTCTGTCTTGTAGCTACCCAGCACGAAGTTGGCGTCTGAAAAATGGGCCACATGGTGCCTGAGCTGCGTGACTGGAGGCTGGGCCCAGGAGACCGAAGGTGGAAGGACCCGGCTGTCCCCCAACGGAAGGAGCTGCAGGAGCACTCGGGCAGCGCAGACACGCGCCACGGCACCCGCGGACCTCAAAGACTCACGCTCCGTGAGGGAAGCCGGGCCCACAGGCCACGTGGTGTGATTCTGTTTATGTGAAAACAAACGCCCAGAACTAGGGAACCCACAGAGACGGAGTGGAGCTGAGACCACTGGGGGTGGGAGGGAGTCCTGCTGTGGGTATTTGGCTTCCTTGATGGGGGATAAAAACGTTCCCCAACTAGACAAAGGAGATGGTTGCCCAGCTTTGTGAATATGCTAAAAAACAGAGAAACGCACACCCTGAAATGCTGCACGTTGAGCCTCATGCACACCACAGCCTCTGGGTGACAAGCACACCTCAATGTGGGTTCACTGCTGGTAACAAGCGTACCTCGCAGTGCAGGAGGTTCATGGCAGGAGAGGCTGAGGGGGTAGGGGGCATCTGGGAAATCTATTTTTCTACTCCGTTTTGCTGTGAACCGAAAACTGCTCTAAAAAATAAAGCCTAGTTTTAGAAGTCATTCACTGGGCCGGATGTGGTGGCTCACGCCTGTAATCCCAGCACTTTGGGAGGCCGAGGTAGGTGGATCACAAGGTCAGGAGTTCAAGAGCAGCCTGGCCAACACGGTGAAACCCTGTCTCTACTAAAAATAAAAAATTAGCTGGGCGTGATGGTGGTGCCTGCCTGTAGTCCCAGATACTCAGGAGGCTGAGGCAGGACAATGACGTGAACCTGGGAGGCAGAGCTTGCAGTGAGCTGAGATCGCACCACTGCACTCCAGCCTGGGCAGCAGAGAGACTCCGTCTCAAAAAAAAAAAAAAAAAAAATTGCTGCCATACGAAGCGTCCAGAACAGGCACATTCACAGAGCTGGGACGCAGGCCAGTGGTGCAGGGCCACTGAGGGGACGGGGAAGAAGTGCTCACAAGCAGGGGGTTCCTTTCGCAGGGATGGAATGTTCTGGAACTAGAGAGAAGTGGCAGCTGCACAACACTGCAAAAATGGTGCATTTTATATTATGTACATTTTACCACTTTTTTTTTTTTTGAGACAGAGTCTCTGTCGCCCACGCTAGAATGCAGTGGTGTGATCTTGGCTCACTGCAACCTTTACCTCTCGGGTTCAAGAGATTCTCCAGCCTCAACCTCCCGAGTCGCTGGGACTACAGGCGCCCACCACCACAACCGGCTAATTTTTTGTATTTTTAGTAGAGATGGGGTTTCACCATGTTGGCCAGGCTGGCCTCGAACTACTGACCTCAAGTGATCCACCCACCTCAGCCTCCCAAAGTGATGAGATTACAGGCATGAGCCAGTGCCCCCGGCCTTACTACATTTTTTTTCAAATCAAACTCTCCCCTGCATATAACCTCGTCTGTGTGCCAGCCAGGAATGCACGTCCCCCAGCCCCGAGGGACAGCCCTCTGGTCCATGCGTTTCCAGCCAAGCCCAGGGATTTGAAAGCTGCTGTCTAGAGCACCACCCCAGAGAGGCGCAGGGCTGGGGGCTCTGCTGGGCATCCTGGTGGGCACCCCGGCTCTGGGACATGACGCCCCACAAGTTCCGGGGGAGTTGCGCTACTACCCCCTCGGCCACTTGGTCAATAGCTGACCCCACTGAGATGCCAGTTGCTGCCGAGATTCAGAGCAGGTGTGGGGAAGGCACCTGGGCCCAAATCCCACTCAGCACCCACCCACTGTGGGGGAGGGGTTGGTATTGGACTCCATGAGCCTCAGTTTCCCCGTCTGATCACCTTACACATAAACTGAAAAGCATGGAGAACCCATGCTGTTCTTGTGCTGTTCTTGCGCTGTGCCCGCCCCCCTCACCGCCCTCAGCTGCGGCCGTGGAGTTACCTTGCCACCGGGGGTCCTCGCTCAGGATCTTCTCAATCATGGCCTGGCTGGCCAAGACCCCAGGCTGCAGATCCGGGACCCCTTCCCCGCCGCCCAGCTGGCCGTTCTGCAAGGCTTCCTGAGCCTGCAGCTCCCTGCAAGCCGAGGACACAGTGGTCACGGCTCCGTGTCTGGAGCCTCCAAAGCTGAGACGAGGTCACTGGAGGGCAGGCTCCCCTCCCACCACTGCACAGAGAGGCTGCAGCCCAACGTTCAGGACGGCGTCTAGTGTGTAGGCGCTCCCCTGTCCTGGCCCACAGTCCTCATCCAAATCCCAACCACTTCACTTTGTTTGCTTTGTTTTATCTGAGACAGGGTCTGGCTCTGCCCCCAGGCTGCAGTGCAGTGACGCAACCACGGCTCACTGCAGCCTCCACCCCCCGGGCTCAAGCAATCCTCCCACCTTGGCCTCCCAGAGCACTGGGATTACATGTATGAGCCACTGCACTCGGCCCGACCCACGTAAGAGCGGAGTCTTCTTTGGGCAGGATTTGCTTTCCCGCAGCCCCAGACTGTGTGCTGAGTGCGTTCTCCCGGAAAGTAGTGCCTCACAGCCTCAACCCCACTGAGCTGCCCGCCGGACCCAGAGAAGAAACACCCAGTGAGCAGAGGTGAGGGATTGTCTCATTAGAAATAACATCCAGAGGCCGGGCGCGGTGGCTCAAGCCTGTAATCCCAGCACTTTGGGAGGCCGAGACGGGTGGATCACGAGGTCAGGAGATCGAGACCATCCTG